ATGAAGTTCTGGTAGATGACTGGTAGCCTAATGAGCAAGACTTAGAATAACTTAGAATAAAAATAGTCTCATGAATATGCCAGAATAGAAGAATAAACCACATTTTGTGTCAGGCCCTGCTGCATTTTACCCTCTGAACACATCTTACAAAAGCAGAGGACTTGCCTTTGTCACTTTTGTGACTCTGCTCCTGCTGCACAGTGTTGTTGATCACAGATGAATCTGACCATGCACAGTGAAGTTTCTTTGTTTTTATAGACTCATAGAATGTGTTGGGTTGGAAGAGACCTTAAAGATCATCTTGATCCAACACCCTGCCATGGCCAGGGACACCTTCCACTAGACCAGGTTGCTTCAAGCCACATCCAACCTGTTCTTGAGCACTTCCAGGGGTGGGGCAGCCACAGCTTATCTGGGCAACCTGTGCCAGGCGCCTCACCACTCTCACAGAGAAGAATTTCTTCCTAATATCTAACCCATTTTCTCTCAGTTCTTCTCCATAATAATCCCTTAAGTCTCCAAAGCCTTGGGAGACAGCTGGATTCTTCACCCAAACATGATTACAGAGAAGAAATTCCGCTGAAGGAATGAGATTTCTTTCATTATCCTAATGGTTTCTATCACAGCTGGATTTTTCTCTGTGGGATGCTTAGTTCCATGAGACGAACTTCTTAGAAATGATTTAGACAAACAAATGAATTAAACAGAATTCAGAATGACAGTTCCCCACACTTGGGTGTCTGCCAAGGAACTTGCAAAAGCCAAAATAATAACTCAGACCTGAGAGATCCTGCAAAGCCTATAAATTAAGTAATCCTTTTGAAAGCTAAAGCTAAAGCTGCCATAGGGTTAAGATTTGCCTGTACATAATCCAAGTAAGAAGTTTAAAATTTAACTGTTCACAGGATATTGAGGTTTTGGATTTTTTTTTTTTTTAATTTTTTTTTTAAACCATTAAGTAAAGGAATAAACTGGAACCCTTGAGAATCTGTTGTATGTGAATCCTCTTGGGAAAGGAAAGCACCAGAAAGGACTCATTCAGGCAATGGAAATGGAAATTACGATGAAAAAATTAAGGATTACTAATTAATGTAAGAAAGGAAAAGAAATTGTACTCTGAGAAACAGTGACTACTGGGAGGGCAAATTGCACAAATGCCATGAAACATTGCTTGGAGTTTTTTACTCACCAAGGACTTTGAATGCATGTCATCAGCATCACTTTCAAGGACCTTTTCCAATCAAAAATATGAAAAGGAGTAACCAGCATTAAAAAATACAAATGATCATTCACAACAAATGATTTTCAAACACAAACCATGAGCCTCTGACACACAATTTTATCAGGAGGGTGGCTGTTGGTAATGCAAATCCACAGACTAACAGCAAGTTTGGTGCTTAAATCTAATTTTAAATCATAGAAACACAGAATGGTTTGAGTTGAAAGGGTTCTTAAAACTCATTCCAATCCCCTGTCATGGGCACCTTCCACCAGACCAGGTTGCTCCAAGACCTTTCCCACCTGGCCTTGAATACTTCCAGGGATGGATAACTCATGACTAACTTCAGCCACTGAAATGGCTAGAGCCCTGATGACAATTTGTACAAGCAAGAAAATCTCCTGACCCAGAGAAGAACTATCAAGCCATAATGATGTTTTAAATCACTCTCATATGGACAGATGTTCAAAAAAAAGGCATTGAAGGGTCATTATCAGGACTCTCAGATAAACACAGACCTCTGCTAAATATTGGGCGGGTGGCAGACGGAAAATGTTCATTCAAAAAGGGACACAAAGATCCATAGTTTACCCAGTTGGTCTGTGATAACAAAGGAAGGAAACCAAGAGTGTCACCGGTGGCAAAGTAGAGCCTGAATAGAATAGTCAAAAAAGAAACAAAAAGGTGATAAGGCTTTGGGGTGGAAAATACTGGAAAAAAAATCAAGGAAAATATCAGGGAGGGGAAAGATAAAGTGAATGGAGTGATGAGATTGAATTCATGAACATGTTTGACCTCCCTTTGAATAATTGTGTGGTCTTTGTCAGAGCTCACTGTACGGTTTCAGCACTCAGCTGAAGAATAAGCACACTGGCAGCACAGTATGTCAGCTGGATGTCAAGGCTTGCTCCCACAGCAAGGTTCAGCTGCTGATGGTCCCGTTAATTTCTCAGCCAGAAGTAGAATTCTAATTAGTTTTTGGAAATGACCTAAAATAAAATTGAAAAAATCTCACTGTGCAATCTGTTCTAGAGGAATATGTCCCTGCCAGTGGGGGTTGGAATAAGTTGATCTTTAAGGTTCCGCCCAACCTAAGCCATTCTGTGACTTTATGATTCTATCAAAGACAAAAACAGAAAATTATCAGCCTGCTTTAGGTGATTGAAGTGAGAGCTGACTGGGTCCTTTCTAGACTGCAGAGTCATGTTTGCTTTGCTCAAAGAAAGTACATGTGAAAAGGTATGAAAGCAGCTGAGAGAACATGGGGCACTTGTGAACCATGAACCTCTTTAGCTCATGTTCTCATTCCCTGCATCCTGGGGAACAATATCTATGACAGAGGGGTGCAAAATTAGTTCCTGATAAAGTTCTGAATCCTGAGAGCTGTTCCATATGTGAACACTTTCCATCAAGAACAATTCAAATGCATATAGTTTTATTCATAGTAAAACTGCCTCTACTTCACACAGTGTAGTGTGTTCTGGAATATAATCTCATTTAGAATAAACACACCCACAAATACATAACAATTTGGCTAATTTTATTCTATTTGGGTTAAGTTTTAGATGAGCCGTCAGTTCTGCAAGGAGTGATCTGGGCTGAGCAGTCAAAAAGCCTTGAAGAGAAAGTGCCTTGAAGAAAGAGCCAGCAGACTCGTTTCTGCTTTTGAAATGAATACTGCAATAGAGGGGATTTCTGTGTTTTGATCATTTATTGCCTCTGCCAGCGAATTACTTCAAGCCCCTGAGGCTTTGCTGCACAGTGGAGCTGCCCTTCACAGCAGGGTGCAGTTCAGAACCCACCCAGGGAATGGAGCTCCAGTGAATGGCAGTGGGAAACATTTGGCTTTACAGAACTGTGGGTTTTGTTTTCTTCTCTTCTTTTTTTCCGTATCTCTGATTTATTGTTGCTACTTAGTGCCTTTCACAGAAAGAATTTTTTCTTTTCCCTCCTAAGAGGGAAGGAGATGCTGATGCTGACACACTGCATTTGTGCACATTTTTAACTGTCCTTCAGCAAATCCTCTTCATCACTGAGCAGCGAGAGCAGGAGAGGTGGGACATCAACCAGTCCTCCAGCTCTCTGCAAGAGGAATTTTGCTGTTTGGCTGGGTGGATTTTCTAACACAAGCAAAGAAACCTCAGACCAGCCTACTCCCAGGCTTCTGCAAGCTGGGTGATATCATGCAGGAATAAGGAGGTATGATTCATCACCCAGACAAAAGTCAGCCTGTGTAGCCTCTGTTGTTGAAGGCAGACGCTTGTGAAGAACAAAGAGTAAGGGAAAGCTCTGCTGGTATTGGCTGCAGCTGGACCTCTCCTCTGCAGGCACCTTTCTAGCAAAGCAAACCAAGTTTATTGTGTTTCAGGTTCGTGACACGGCATGCTGCTATATCCCAAACCACAGGACATCCCAGAAGCCTATTTAAAAGTCATAGCTCTGATCCCTGTCCCAGACCAAAGCCCAGTAAATGGGTACAGCAATGAGCCAGTCACACAAACCTTCCCATGTCACAAGCAAAGAGCCTTTGCAGCAAATGGTGCATAAATCAAACTTGCAGAAACCAGGCAGCAAGAAGGTGTTCAATGAAACTGGACTTTTTAAACAATGAATCCTTTGTTAGATCCTTTTTCTTTTCAAGTGGGATATTCTGGTCCAGCCCTTTCCAGGAAGAAAAAGAAATTTTACAGAAATTTTGAGATTTTTTCTCAGCTTCTGGAGGACATGCTGAGCAGCTCTGTGAGCACCCACCCCACCTCCAACCCACCACTGTTTCTGTAAACCATCCCATTAAACACTCACTGGCAGCATGGACATCTCCATGGTGTCCAGCAGTCACTGATCCAGCTGTACCACCAGGAAATTGAGATCCTTTGCATTGCTGGGTGCTGGTCCAGAGACCCCTGCAAGGAGTCCTGCCAATGTTGGGGTACAATGGCCGTGAAGATGCTCTGAGGGTTGGAGTACCTCTGCTGTGGGGACAGACTGATACACCTGGGAGTGTTCTGCCTGAACAAGACAAGGCTGTGGAGAAAATAAGAGCCTCTTTCAGTCCCTAAAGGGGCTTCAAGAGAGCTGGAGAGGGATTTGGAACATGAGCCTGGAGAGACAGAGTTAGGGGGAATGGCTTCAAACTCACAGAGGGCAGAGTTAGATTGGAAGAAATTCCTCCCTGTGAGGGTAATGAGGCCCTGGCACAGGTTTCCCAGAGAAGCTGTGACTGTCCCATCCTTGGAAGTGTTCAAGGCCAGGTTAGATGGGGCTTGGAGCAACCTGGGATAGTGGAAAGTGTCCCTGGCCATGGCAGGGGTTTGGATTGTGATGACAATTTCAGGTCCATCCCAAATGAAACCGTTCTGTGATTCTGTGATTATTTTCTTGGAAGTTTATCTTTCACCCAAGCGATGACCATGAAATATCCACAAGCTGCTTTAAACGAAATCTGATTATTTTCTTGAACTTTTTTCTCATTCAGGAGACTTACTGTAATGAATAAAACACTCACAACCAAACATTTACTGACCTATTGCATCATTTTCCTTCCACTGCAGAGGATGAACGTGCAGTGAGGAAGGCTTTGAGCACACCACATGCTTTACTCCTAGTAAAGTACTGTAACTTTACCACTGCGAGTGGCCCCTCCGAAGCCCACTTATAAAAGGATTCCGGGGGAAATACGCGCTGGATCTCCCCCAAGGCCAGGCCGGGTGGGTCCCTCCTCATGGGCAGGCCCTGCGGGCGGGGCTCGCCGGGGAGGCGGGATCGCTCCGTCCCGGCCCTCAGGAGCTGCGGCGGGGGATCGGCAGCCGGAGCTGCCGCAGTCTGCGGGCAGAGAGCGCCCCGCCGCTGCTATGTCCCACTCGGTGGTCCTGCGTGGCCCTTCGCCGTGGGGTTTTCGCTTGGTGGGCGGTAAAGATTTCAGCGCCCCGCTGACCATCTCCAGGGTGAGCTCTGAGGGGGAGCGGAGCGGGGAGCGGCCGCAGGTGATGGGCGGCGGGGCGGGTGGCACCCGGAGTCGGGCGGGCTCCACCCGGGCCCAGCGGCTAGTGGCTCTTGGGCTCTTTTGAGCTCCAAATTATTCTGTATGCACTCAAATAAGTGCTCCCTTTTGAACTTTGCACTGTTTCAGCCGATTTTCCCAGTGTTACAGCATTCTCCTTTTTTTTTCTTTTTTTCTTTTTTTTTTCTTTTTTTTTGTTGGGGGGGGTGGGATGTTAATTCATAAGGATCTGCTTTCAAAGTTTTTAGTGTTCACATGGTTTGGATTCGTGCCCTGGAGTGAGTTCACAGGCTGTTGAGGTTTTTAAAGAAGGTATGAGTTAAGTCAGCAAGAAGTTTCTCCATGCAGGCTGCAGAGTTCTGGGGTCTCCATGGGCTGGTAATAATTACTTTGTAAGTGCACTCGCACTTGTGTTTGACCTCACAAATACGTATTCTGGAAAATTCTTTGCTAAGACGCCGCAGATAGTTTGAAATAGGCTTTGTGTGTGGATGTATGTGGAAACAAGCCATCCCCCGTGCAGGAAGGATCGCGGCGAGGCGGTGTGATGGATGAGGTGCTGTATGTGAGCTGGGCACGCTCCCGTGGGCACTGTTTCCATCGCCCCGGGAAAGAGTGGGGTGCCCTAAGCTGCTCTGCCTTCCCGGCATGTCGGGCTGTGCAGGATTGCCGAGCTCCCCAGGGCGGCTGCTGCTGAATTTCTGGAACAAACACTGAGTGCATTTGAAAGGAGCTGTAACTTAAAAAATACTGTTGTAACGCACACAAGCTGTTTGCTGGTTTTTTCATTCATCTGCGAAAGCTGTGACAGAAAAGAGAAAACGCGTATCCTGAGTTTCAAAGAAGTAATTATAGAAGAGAGTGTATTTTAGTGAGATTTCGTTTAAGTTCAAACATGTCAATTGCATGGCTTTGTCTCTGTTTTTACTTTGGACTGTCCCTTTCCAAGTGTTCCAGTGAGGGCTGCTTTGGAGGAGGATCAGGAGGGGATGGATGGAGGAGAGGGAAGGCCAGGGAGGTGCAGGTGGGGCTGGCTGTGCTGTACTTGGGGCGGGTGTCCACATGCAGCTGGGGGGCTGTGCTGTGAGAGGGGACACTCGGCTTTTGGGGTTCAGCCTGAACCTCCTGGATATGGAGAGTTCTATTTCTCCCCTGGTAACCTGGGTTGTATCAAAAATCACTTCCTGGCAGTTGTAGAAATGTTCTTGTCATGGAAGTGAACAGCTGAATTTAGTGGAGGGAGCCAATTTTCTTGTTACTTTGAAAAAAAACCCCAAAACTGGTTTATTATTAAACAAGGAAAATCTAAGTCTGCTTTTGCCTAGATAAGCAGCTTGCTAAATTTCTTGTTTGGTTCAGCAAAGCTGGGAGGTGTGAGAAGGATGATTCTCCTCAGGCCAGTCTTGCAGTCTTGCTGTGGATCACTAGGAGCTGTAACACAAGAAGCAGATATAGGGTGTTATTCCATTTGGCAGCCTTTTAAATTGGATCCTTTTTAAGTTCTGCTCCCACTGAAGAGTGTGCTGATGCTCTGATGTGCTGTACTCTAACAGCTGCTCCCAGAGGGTGGTAAACAAATCACTAGGATGTAAATATAGATGTAGGGTGCTCTGCTTGGGTTCTAGTATCTAAACACAAGAAAAGATCTCACTTGCTTTGCAAATAGTACCTGAAAATATTAAAGCTGGGGAAGAATTATCTTCTGCTGCAGAAGGGGGCTGGAAGGCTCCCTGGGGAGCCTGGGCTTTGCTTGGTGGTGGGTCTATGCAACCTTGCTACTGTGCAGAGAACTGATCATGGTTGTTGTGGTGCCATATTCCCTTTTATTCTGTAATTGTCCAGGAAATCTGTTCTTTCTGGCTTGAAATGTGGGCAAGGAGGCTGGGGGCTTCCTATCTCCAGGAATGAAAAGCCTCCATCCCCTTTGCTCAGCCTGGCTCATGGTGGGAGGGAGACTCTTGCTAATTGTGGAGGCTTTTGGCTGACTACTGCTTCCTTCAAAGTGCCTTTCTTCTTTAATTTCAATTTTATTTGTTTTATACTAAAATGCCATTAAATTACAAACATCTTTGGAAAAGCAGAAATTCTGCTGGGAGGCAGGACCACAGTCTTGGAATCCCACATCCAGCTGTGGGCCTGGAAGATGCCAACATGTTCTGGGTGTGCTAGTCTGCCTGAGGGATGTGGGATGGCTGCATCCCACTGCTTGGCCCAAAGGGGGCTGAGGATCAACATGTCACAAGGTGTTTGGGCTGTACAGCTCTGCAAGCATCCTACCTGGACTGATTATATTGGGAAATCAGGTTGCAGTTTGGGATTTGCGGCATCCAAGGCCACCCACATTCAGCTCTTGGTGCTGGAGGCTGGAAATAATGGAGCAGCTGGAAATAATGAGAGGCACTGCCAGGGTGAGCTGAGGCACAGTGGTGTAGGGCAGAGAGGTGTCAGACAGGGGGCAAAGCTGAAGGTGGTCCACAAAAGTGTCTTGTGATAATATTGTCAAGAGATAAATGGCAATATATGGATTTGGTAGCATGGAACATGACAATGACCCTGTCCTGCTTTAGGATGGAATTTACCTTGCTCACAAAGGTTTACTTTGGCTTTTAGCCCCTGTGAGGTGGCTGTGTCTGTGCAGGTGCTGATGGTATTCAGTCTATCCCTTGCAGCTGTCTCAAATATGCTCATGACATTAAGCAATGCTCTTTTTTTCTTGAAAACAGGTCACTTCCCTCTGTGATTTGATCAGTCTTAAGTGACAAGGGGTAAAGATCTGATTGCTCTGCTGAGCAGCTGATGGTGAACTCTGCCCTGGAGAGGCCAGGGTTCCAGGTGGGATGTTGAGTTCCTTAGTATTGAAGATAAATGCAGATCCAGAAGGCCATGCTTAGGGCATCTCTCACATGCAGTCACATGAAAAGTTAGGTGTGCTATAGCTACCCTTTCATCCCCTGTTTCTTGTATATTCAGGAGGACCCATTTAGCAGGACTGGAGTTTGCTGGGCTGGTTTGAGGGCATGCAGCCCTGGGGAGTGATACTGGTGTGTTGTTAGCACAGTGCTGACACTGCTGATTTATAGTGCCAGGCTACGCTCTTGGAGGGAAACACAGTTTGTTTTATACCCACTGTTACAGTGAGCTAACACTAAGTACAGGACATCACATCATTAATGGTTACTCCTCCTAAGTATATTTATAAGGGTAGGAGATGATCCAAAAGATCTGCTTCAAGTTGGCCTTAGTGACTTGATAGAAAGTGATTTTAAAACTTAATTAAATTTCTGGTAGCTGACAGCTGATTTCCTTGGTTGAGCAGGCTGATGCTGTGTTTGCCCTCTGTGGGGAAGGGGGTTCCCTGTGGCTCTTACTCCAGTGACAACATTCCTTTTGACCAGCAGCCATGGCTCAGGAACAGGAATGGAATAACTCATTTGGCTGTTCTCAGTGCTGTGCTTGTAACCACATCAGTGAGTGCTGTGGTTCTGTGTGGGATCACAGTTGATCTACCCCTTGCCTGGGATTAAAAGATGATCAGTCATTAGCATAACTAGAGGAGGTGAATGCATTTAGTCACTTGAACTTGCTTGCCCTGCTCCTGGAGCAGCTGATGTCATCATCTGCCCAGTTCTGCCAGTGTTAATCCATGCACTTGCTGTTTTTGAAGTCATAGATAAATTATATGGCTAAACAGATAAATGGCAAATGGATCAATTCCAGTATTTTTTGAATGAGATTTTAATAAATTTTTCCTTTATCAGCTGGCTTCAACGTTAGTTTACCTGCTGGTCTCTAGTGTAGCAGCAAAATGCAGTTCTCAGCATTGGCTTGGAACTGTGGCACAAGAAGGATGAGAAATAATTGGTCTGCAATCCATTATCCAGGTATTGTTTGAGTTAAGGTTGACTTTTAAACTACTTTTAAACTTAAGCAGCTTTCACATTTGAGCAGAGACATGTCCTGTTAAAGGTTAGGATACTTGAAAAAGAATTCTGCTGAGGAAGGAATTCCAGTAAAAGTGATTTTGTTGACTCTGTCAAGGCAGCTGGCAAATGCCCAAGTCTATGCTGTGATCCTGTGTGAATGCAGAGAGAACCCACTCAGTGGAATAATACCTGGGGAGGCCTGTGAGGTTTTTTCTTGTGGGGGTGGGGATGGCTGAACAGAAGGGGCTCCCAAGAGCTAGAGCTTGGAGTAACAAATTTGGTTACCCCAGGAACTCCATATATGTTGGTGTAGAAGGCAAGGATCAGAGACAGCAGCAAAAGGAACAGGAATTTTGTCTCCGTTTGAGACAAGTTAGAAGGGCTTTGATTTTTGTAAGGTTTTTTTGGTTTCATGTAATTTTTATGTATTTGATAGTTCATTAGATGGAAGTTATGGACTCTCTGTTCAGAGCTCCCAAATGGACTGAAGAAGCCACTCTGTGTTGCTGAATCCCAAAACTATGACCCCACCTGATTTATGCTGATTTTTGGTGGGTTTGCTGCCTTTGTAGAGCTGAGTGATGAAAGCTGTCCCTCAGTTGCTTGCAGAGCAGTGTTGTTACAGTATTTCAAGTGGGATGATTTTTTCAAGTGGAAGGAAATACTTTTTGCTAGTCAGTTTTTGTTTTTCTCATCATTCCTATAAACTCAGGCTGAGAAGTCTGGGTGGTTAAGTGTGAAGCTATGCTGGTACAGAACAGTTCATCTGAGCTACAGATAAGAACTAACAGAAATACGTCACAAATGTATTTGCTGCTGAAGTGTTTCTATTGCTTTTTTGTTTAATAACTGAAAGAGAAGAATAAATGCTTGTGCTGGATCAGGAGACAGTAATGGTGGAACATGCTGGAATGAAAGCCTAATACTAATCACTGTAATTAAGCACACTGATAATCCCAAGCGGGAAAGCAGGTGGAAAGAATGATTCATGTAGATCCATTTAGGCAAGGTCTGACCTTGGGGCAAGTTAACAAAAGAAACCCAGCACACCCATGAAAACACATCAGGCCTCTGCCAGGCTGGACAAAGCAGTATAGGTTCAGTGTCCCTGGGTATTTGGGATTTGTGGATTTGGGGTTTTTCTTCCTTCCCTATTATTTTTGTTTTAAATGGTGGTGATGTCAGTTTTCCTTGAAGATTGAAAGATTGCCTGCTGGGACAGGTGTTCAAACTTATTCTGTAGAAGTGTACACCTAAATTCCACTTGATAAAGTGGGTTAAAGAGAATAGTTAAACAACAGACTTACTCAAACAGCCCTTACATATACCACCAGGTGTAAAAAGCATACGGGGGAAATATGTGCAATTATCTTTTCTTCCTAAACTTTTTTTGCTATGTAACACAGCAGATGGTTATAATCCTGGTCCTCCTGAAATTGGATAAATCCTTTAATTTTAGTACGAATATGTCATTATGAATTGTGAGGAATTGATGCAGATCAATGCAATTTAATTTCATTTTTGGTAACTTGGAGATTAAATACATGTCACAGAGAATCCTAGAAGGAACAATATAATATTTCTAACTGAATTTGTTGTCTGGTTTCTATGCTCTCAAAATGCCTTGACTTATGGTTCTCAGATACCCACTTAGTAAAAACATTTTTATTTTTTAAGTCATCTGTAACCACAGGTGCTAAAGCGTGAAAGAAAACAGTAGCTCTCTCAAGATCTAGCAGCGTTGATAGAAAAGGTTTAAACAAACATGTTCACAGAAAAATACTCTGCTTGATTTGTTATCAGTGCCAGAGGTGTGCCAGAGCAAACCCTGTATCTCACAGAGCTTGTTCATGTAGTGGGTTTGTACATAGCCCCTAACACCCCACTTGCCCCAGGCCCTGGTAGATAAGGTTGTGTTTGGTTTCTACTTCAGAATTTACACAAAAACTTCAAGCAAGCATGGGTTTCGCTATGTTACTTGAGCAACAGCAAAGATACCAGGCCACAGTGTGACTTTTGAGGAACTTTTACAGCCAGAAGAGGCCCAAAAGAAAGCTGTTTTCTCCCCACAGAGAACACAGCTGTATTTTAAAAAACAAAAAGTGCTGTTCAAGAGGATTTCAGCCTGAGTTTTCCAAATACCATAAAGATGCCTCACAGCCACACTCAATCCTTGACAACCAGAGCAGCTTGCATTCACACCCATTAAGCCTTAAGTAGTTTTACATGTTGTGTGGATTGATAGCAGATTATGTGGCAATGACATTTTACAGCCCAAGCTTCAGAAAATATACCAGAATAAAGAAGATTATTTAAAGTCGTTATTCGTAATTATTAGATATGGGCAATGCACAGCTAAAAGAGAAGCTGTCTTGGACAGCTGACTCCAGGACTGGCTGATACCAACAGAGGAAATCATCAGCTGGGAGGTTTGCAGCATGCTGACACTGCTCTCAATGCTGTTGTTTACCATATGCAACAAAACACTTCAGAAACCTTGGCATATGTAAAGCTTCTGGCCCAAAAGACCAAACCCTGCAAAATGCTTGACATTCACCATTAAACCGGGAGAAAGCATTTGTGTCACAGAGGCACAAATCTTTTCACTCTGTGATTAACACCTGAGTGTGCTTCAAGAATGAAACTTCAGGGATGCTCACCAACTGGATTTAACTTTTTATGTTGAAGAATTTTTTTCTCTTTGGAGAGCACTCTGTGTACACTTCCCTTTTGATGGGAAGGACAGTGTCAGCCTGCCTTCCTGGCCAAGAGGCAGATGGTTTGGAAGGCAAACTCTTAACAATTCCTCCATGTGTTCTGCACAGCACTTAAGGCTTGCTCCTGAGAAGGGCTCAAGAAGCCCTGCTGCTTGTTGAGGGGTGTCAGAGGGGGAAGACTTCACTGCAGACCTGGGTGCTAAACCTCTGAAGGAGATGAAGCAATTCTGGCCATAAACACTTTCTGTGATGCTGCTCAATCTGGTTTGTGCAGAGGTGTGCAGCGGTGCAGTAGCTGAGGGACTATGGTGGTGCTCCAAGCACAACCACATCAAGGGCTCACTGCTGTCCCCAGGGTAGCTGTCCCTCCCTGGCCTTGCTCCCTAGTAAGGCAAAGTAAATATAAAGCAGATTTAAGTGTAGTAGCAGCCAGAATGCTGAATTGGGCTGTTCTGTGCAGTAAAGCAGCACAGAATCTTTAACTTGTTTTTGGAGGAAGGAGTAAGGGGCTCCTGACAGCTGTGACCATGAGCAGTGTGGGGAGTGCTGCTGGAGTTGTGTGCCCTTGGGCTGAGCAAGAGAGTTGTTGACAAAATACACCAGATGATCCTTGTGGATCTCTTCCTTGTTTTTCTCAATCAACATTTTGAGGTCTGCACATGGGTTAGTGGCTGGTTGATCTAAAACACATGTCCAATTTCATTGATTCTCAGCCTTGTTGAACAGAGACCTCATACTTAGATCTGGGTTAGGATCTACACTATCAATCTGTTTCTAAATTTGGATTTGGATCCATTAGTACTTGAATTCAAAAGGATTTTTGAGTGTCTTGCCTTTTATAATACTTGTACTCTGGTTCTTTCCCTTCTATTCTTTTAAGCTTATTTTCTTCAGTAGTTAAATGAATTCAGATTACATAAACAGTGTTCTTCATTTACTGGGCTGTGAGCTTATCTAAATAATGCCTTGATACATCAGACTTTATATAAGCAAGTAGAAAAATGCAAACAAATTGGCACAGAACTCAAGGCAGGATGCTTTGAAAAGCTGAAGAGAATCCCTGGAAAGAATGTTTAAAGGGTTTAGGGAATTCATTTTCATTAGTTAATTATTTGACTCTTGGCTCTTCCTGTTTTAAAACATGTAGCTAGTAAGATCATTCCCTACCTCATAGCATGGAGCTGACAGGCTTTGTTTAAAAGCTGAGAATTTTGTCACACTATCTTGAAAGCCTCTCGAAGACTTTAATCAGGCCCTTTTGATCACAGTTGCAGAACAGAAAATTCCCCAGCCTTGCCTACAACAAACTACCACTGATTTAAGAGAAGAGTTGTGTGGTCTGTGTGGGCTTGTTTGGGATTGCACCTTTTAACCCGTTAAATCCTGGCTTTGTTCACTGATGGGATGCATTAGAGTAGCACTTTTAATAAAAAGTGAAGAGGTGGCAGAGATAAAGCTGCCTTCATTATGTAGATGGGAATGGCCAGAATAGGCACCTTCTGTTGATTTGGGTAAAAAATTCTGTGAGAAAAAGACTAACTTATTCTGGCTGAGCCCAGGCCAGTGCAGGCAGTGAGGAGCTGTATCCTTCATCCTTCAGTCCTGACACAGGTGACCTTAGAGGCAGGTTTCTGTGGAAAGAGTAGAAATAAAAAGGGATTAAGTTAATATTACAAATTAACCTTTTACTAAAATATTGATTGTTTCAGCTTGTGGCTTTGCCCAATTCTAAAGTTGGCTTGAGGAAAGCTGTTCCAGAGCAGAGCAGTCCCTGCGGTGGGCAGGGTTCCCATCCCTGTGAGGGCAGAGGATGCAGGCAGTAGGTATGGGGACTTTGCCCTGTTTTGAATGCTCTCCCGGCCCTGGCACCCTTCTGTGGCCAAGCTCCAGGGCAGAAGGTAGAACACTGTGTTTCAAGAGCAAACTCCTCTTGATGCAAATAACCTTGCTTACTAATTACTAAATTAGACTGCACAGCTCCAACACCAACCAACTCTAGGTTAAGTGCAAGGCAGTTGCCCCAATGTACTTTATTTTAATGGCAGCACTCAGTAAATCCAAGCAATGCTCCAGTGGCAACATAAGAGCACTGCTGCTGGCTTTGGGATTATCAATTTAATAGCATCAGAGTATCCACTTGGGTGGACAAGGGATCTGCTGGAGGGTAATTGCCTTGGGGGAGAGTGAAGAGGTGGATGGTAATCCTGGAAAAATCAGTGGGGAATATAATTGGAAAAATTTATTTTAAAAAATTGGTTTTATTTATTGAGATAGAATTCCCTGGTGGATGATTTGGCAAAAGGCATAGTGTGGCGGTGTTGCTTGCAGTGCTGTCACTGAGCTTTCTGTGGTGACTGAAGAAGCAGAGAACAGTGAAAGAAGGGATGTTCACTGGGGGCTCTTTCTTTAAATTTGTCTTTTTCTTACTGGAGCTATAGAGGGGGTTGAGACAGGCACTAATACTGGACTCTGGTATTTTTCAAAGCACAATGCTATGTAGAGGACATAGAAAGATGTCACAAATGAGACATAGCCTAAGGGGATTAAGAAGCATAATATTATTATTAGAAAAGGGGGGAAAAAGTACATTATGGCTTCCTAGGGGAGCAAATTCTTGCAGGATGCACCTTCCAGAGGCGTGCTGTGTGGGGAGGGGCTGCTCTCTGGGATCTCAAGAGCCTGGAGAGCTGCTCACCTGGGGCACGTGCTCGACAAACACCCCCTTGTGCTCTCTTCTACAGTATCATTACTGGGTAAGTGGTTTGTTTTTTTTAGTCTTTTCTGTTTATAAGCATTCTCAAGCATCTTTGTTTTTTGAGAGAGAGAAGTGAGGAAGCGGCTGCTTTTTTTTTTTTTTGTGGAGAGGTTAAACTCAGACTGTTGTTCTTTATTTAATTTTGGGAGAGCTGTAAAGCTGGCAGGCATGCATGTTGCACTCTCAGAGATGTGGCCGTGCTGTGTGTGCACGGCTGCCTTGGGCAGAGAACACACCAGTGCTTCTATGGGCATAAAAAGAGCTGTGGAAACACAAGTGCTAGTGACTTCCCCAGCATTTGAATTGGTTCTGCACATATTTCATGCTTGGTTCCTTCCTGCTGAAAATATAGCAGTGCTTAGGTGGTGTGTAGCACTGTGGGATCTGTTTAACCCTCTCATGAAGAGCTTGCCACCAGCTCACTGCAGCCCTGCCATGGTCCCTGATGACAGGTCCACTGCACTGGACCTATTCCTCTGAGTTGCTTTGCCACTCCCAGAAAACTTGGGGGACTGTCCTTAAGCTGTAGTAAGAAAGATTTAGATTAGATATGAGGAAGAAATTATTTCTGTGGGGGTGGTGAGGCATTGGCAGAGGTTTCCCAGAGAAGCTGTGGCTGTTCCATCCCTGGAAGTGTGCAAGAGAGGTGGAATGGGCTTGGAGCAACTTGGTCTAGTGGAAGGTGTCCCTGGCTATGGCAGGGTGTAGGAGCAAATTATCTTTAGGGTCCCTTCCAACCCAAACTATTCAGTGATTCTATGAAACCATCAGCTCTTCCGGATCGCATGCCAGGCTGTGCCTCAGAACCTGCTGAGCACCAGGAATGGCACAAAGGAAGAGGCTGGATGGTACTTCTGGAGCAGGAAGATGCAGAGAGATGGTCCTCTCCCCTTTCTGCAGGACTGGCTTTGTCTGTGTTGGGCAACTTCACCCCAAGTTTCCATTAGTTGGCTTTTGATTTATATTGTTGGGAAAATATTTTTGCCTGCAGGACAGCAGTAACCGGGAGTGTGAGTTAGCTGATGTCTGGGGGTTCACCTCAGTGCTGCTTCAGTGCTTCATGAAGTTATGTCTTTGGGAGCTCAGAGATTCCACAGGAGGTGGGATTCCTGTCTGATTGAAAAATAAAACCTTTTAGGGGAATGGTAATAAAAATATTTACGTTTCTTTAAGCCTCCGGTGTTTGCTGTTGTTTTGGCTCTTGGTGCTGTACACTTGACTGCTCTGGAGGTATACTGAGGTTGCTGTCACCCCATGGCACAAGCAGAGGTCTTTGAGAGCTGCATGGCCTCACAGGGAGCAAGACCCTGCTGATGGTGTGAGGGCTTAGACCACCCCATCCACCCACAGAATTCCCCACCTGAAACACCAACATTTGTGTGGGGCCCTGCTGCCCTGGGGGCTACCAGGGTGTGAGGGACTGGGCTGGCTCCTTGCTGGTGAGTAATTGCCCTGCCTGAACTCTTCACTGGAGCACACAAGCAGCCCAAATCCTGGCAGGTATCTAGCCTGGGCAAGGTGAGGTGTGGCACATGCAGGGTGCAGCAGGTGCTGTGGGACATAACCCATGTTAGGCCCTGGTGCATGAGCTGGGATTCAGTTTTAGTGTACTCAATGCTGCCTGTGGTGGGTAGACAGCTCACACCACCCTGAGTTACATATCCATTGTAAGCTTGGTCTGTGTTCATTTAGCACTGATTTTTGAAATGGTTTGTTCTTGGCACAGATGGAGAGCTTCAAAACCAAATAAAATCTTACCACTGTTTTCCTTAATCCTCTCCTGTTCTCAAACATCAGCTCCTTTGGAGGCTTCTTTCAAGAACAGAGGGCTGCAGTGACTCAGTGCAGGTTTTCTCTGCAGTGTTTTTAACTTCATAATGTGTCTGATTACTGTCAGATTCATATGTGCTTCCATGATGTTGCCCACACTGTGGTTTTGGCTCAGGGCGGCAGACCTGAGGGCTCTCCGGAGAGAGGGACAGGTGAGGTGACAAGCTCCATCCCAAGACCTCTGTGCACTGCCAGGCTCTGATGTCATACAATCACAGAATACTTGGGTGTGGAAAGGTTTTTAAGACCATTGAGTCAAACTATTAACCCAGCACTGCCAAGGTCGCTACTAAACCATGTCCAAAGCAGGTAGAACCCCTGCACTAGGATTCAGGCACAGCACTGACCCATGACCAGACTTGTCAGGCTTTCTATGGGGTGTTTGGTGTCAATGGCTTTGCACAGCTGTGGGTTAAAAGACCTTAGTCTACAGTGTTTTAAATATCATTCAGTAAAATACAAACTTTGGGCCTGACAGACATTACAATGATTCCCCAGCTGTTGAGACACCAGTGCTGTATCTCAAATGAATTTATGGAGTGCAGCTCCATTTCAAGCCCTTGGTCATCTCCACAGCTAGCATAAAATGCTAATATGAAAATACTGCCAAAATAATTTGAAATAAAGCACAAGCTAAAAATAGGAAACAGCTAAGAGTCCCATTTGTGAACAGCTTATTCTTCAAGGAAGCTACAACATGGTTAAGATCACTACAAGGGGAAAAAAATCCATCAGACATCTAGATAGCACTGAATAGACAAGAACAAGATACAGCTGTCCTGGATGAAGCTCAAAAAAGCCTGTCTAAAAGCCTGCTGGCAGTCAGGGCTGTGGGATGAGCACTGAGGGAAGCAGATAACTGCAGGCAAGAGCATGGAGGTGGTTCCTTGGAGTTGATGGTTGAGCTTTAGGTTGACTTTCTGATGAGTCTGGCAGCCTCTGTGGTTGTAGGAGGACCCTAATGCCCTGTGGATGGATACAGGCGTTCAAAAAACCATAGCTATGCCAGGGGAAAAATAATCCTATCCTAGCTTGAAATGTCCTCTGTCAGAGTTTAATGTTTGTGGAGCTGAAAGACATGTCCTGTTGTTTGCTCTGAGCTGAGTCATAGGGCAGCCCATTAGCAGTTGGTCTGGGTGGGTTTGTTCAAGCCAAACAGCCCAGCTGAAACTATTGAAGAGCAAATGGCAAATACTAATTCACTCTGACAATGCAACAAAAGCTCTAACTTGTGCTGCCAGTTCTACTTAACTGCCAGAAGCTAGAAAGAAGGTTTGGAGCTTCTTAAAGACCTTCAGGTTGTTGTTTTGGTGGTGCCAGTAGCCGTGGTCATGCAGGGAGCAGTGCAGCAGGCCTGTGCTACACTGGGGGCTGTCTGCTTCTCACCAAGGATAGCTCTAGTGCAATCCACAGGGGCTGTTGTGGTAAGATTGAATCCTCTTCAAATTCCCTACAAAAATAGAACAAATTCTCCCTGGAAGTGTGAAGGCCAGGTTGGATGGGGCTTGGAGCAACCTCGGTGGAAGGTGTTCTGTGTTGGAACAAGGTTATGTTTAAGATCCCTCCCAACACAAGCCTTTATAAGATTATATGAAATCAGGATGAAAGCTGGGATGTGTGCATGCCCCCTAAAAAAACCCACCTGTTTAATAGTGGCCTATGGTTGGGGGGCTTCTGGGCACTGGGAAACTGCCCCACTTGGTCTTACTGTCTGAAAAACTGTACCCAGCGTCTCTGGCTGCTGTCATGCACTGTTGTGAGCCAAGGGGTGGTGGTGGGTAGAGCAGTGCTCCTGTTGTCTGGGTTTCTCAAGGAGGGTGGGGCAGAGACCCACCAACTAAGACAGGGAATTACATCTGTATAAATCAAGAGTAAGCAGAATCAAAGCACCAGCTTGCTTTAATGCAGTGATACATGAATAAGCAAAAGTCAGGCTTGCTGTAACTTCTCAGCTGATAAAATGTGTTTGCTTAGCAGATGCTGTGAATAAACTGAAGAGGAAATTAGAGGGAAAACATATAGCTAGTAAGAGTTTAACCAGGCATGTTTACCTGTTGTGACTATACCTTGTGTCATTCTATATTATTGTAAAAATTAAAACCACATTTAGGATTATGTAAATAAAATGGTAATTTCTCAAGAACTTTTTATAAGCTACAGGCTTGGTTTTGTTGCTGATCACAAACAGTATCTGGACCTTCATTAATTCCTCAGGAACTAAGTTAGAAGTTTTAGAGGGTTCTGGCCTCCCACAATACCAGAAGAAAAGAATTGTAGAAGCTTAAAGAACTGTGTGATATTTATGAATAGAATCATGGAATTGCTTAGGATGGAAAGGATCTTCAAGATCATTTATTCTGGCTGTTACTCCACCCCTGCCAAGGCCACCACTAAACCATGTTCCCAAATGCCGTATCTGCTAAATCCCTCTGGGGCTGGTGACTATGCAGAGCTAGAAAGAGGTAGTTCATTTGGATGTCAGTCCAGAAGAAGTGATGTCAAACGTGACCTCTCCAGGGAGGGCAGCAGTCAGGGGGATTGCGCTTCTGCATGGGTGGTTAACCAGAGAGGAGGATTTATGTGCTACTTAGGGATTGACTCTTGCAGCACCATGAAGGGTCTGCAAGCCAAAGTAGTGTGAAGCATCTCTCTGGAAAGAGCATATTACATTTATTTCAAGCATTTCAAGAGACAAATGTGGAAAAGGGACCTGGTCACACAGTGGCTGGAAATTGACTGAAATTCCTTATTTCAAAGAATGTTGTTGTAGGCTCTTGGAGACCTGGGGCTTACCTGAGAGCTCTGACACATCCAACCTCAGGTGGGTGACATTGGTGTAGAGAAAACACATATTCTTCAGAAATAATTGTACCCTTTACCTGCATCTTATTCCAAGAAACTGGACTTGTTTAAAAACAAAACAATATTCTTTTCAGTAACCCTTTTATTTTTCCCCAGGTTAACCCTGGCAGTAAAGCAGCCATGGCGGACTTGTGCCCAGGAGACATTATTCTGGCAATTAATGGAGAGGACACGGACAACATGACACATCTAGAAGCACAAAATAAGATCAAAGCATGTGTGGACCAGCTGCTGCTCTCTGTGAACAGGTTGGTTCTCTCTGATGGGCTCCTGTGTCAATTTTGCACAGAGGGTTTTTGGCTGGCCCTGGAGCAGATGTGCTCTCAGGCGGGGTTCTTGGAGCATCCCCATGGTCTGGGTTATTGTCCTGTGTTTTCAAAAACAGTAAAACAAAATGATTTTTAATGGTTCACTGATAGAAAAAGTGGGTTCAGTTCATTATACATGAGGATTACCATTTGTACCTTGTAAGGCTTGTCCAGGCTGTGGCCTGAGTTGAGTCTTTGAGGTTGTGTCAACTCAAGCAAGAGTAGTACTGGAATCAAAATCTCCTTTGGACAAACCCTGCCACTTCATTAACTTCCACCCATTGTTTTAGGCATCTGTTCAGTGAAAAAACATTTGAAGGTCCTGCCAAATTCACTATTTAGGGTATTTTGAAGCAAAATGAAAGCATGAGTTTGGTATTTGGGGATTTTTTGTTTGGGTTTTTTTTAAGTAGGATTTTGTGTGTGTGTGTGTTGTGGGTTTTTTGTTTATTTGTGGGTTTTTTGCTTGGTTGATTTGGGTTTTTTGGGTTTTTTTGATTTCTATTTTAATTAATTCTGTAGCAAAATCACAAATTATCTAAGCAGAATGAACACACTTCTTATAAAGTTCACAAATGGCTAATACTGTCTGTCGTAGGTTTAAATAAGTGGATATAGTTTTGCACTTCATATTAAAGAGGCATTTCCTGATATAAAGAGCTATCATTTACTGTTTATACTTTTCTTGGAAAACCATCTAGTTCTGACTGGATGCCTGGGCAGTGGGGAAGGAGCACTGCCATAAATGGAGCAAACCTTCTGTGATTCCTCATGGTTCCTCAGACGGGCATTTCTGAGCTGCCTGGCTAAAGCAAAGTCCTCTGAGCTCGGCCCATGTTGTACAGATGATGTGGTTTCAGTATTACAAAAGAAAGAAAATATGGAAAGCAAGCAAAAACCCTTTACACAGGTGGAGTTTCCATAGCCAAGGAGGGCAGTTGTTTTGCTTTCCATCCAGAGCAGTTTTAGGGAGACTAGATGATTTTCTAGCCCCAAGAACTGTGCCCAGGGCAGGACCAGGGTTCCCTTCCTGACTGTCTGCAGGCTACTGGAGCTCTCCTTGGAAGAGATGAAAATCCTTGTTTAGTGACAGGAGGTTTTGATTAGCCATCAGCTGCTGGGGTGGTCTGGCAGCAGAGCAGCTTCATTGGGAGTTAGAACCAAGTTTTGCTGGAAACAGCTTTTACCTGCAGCATGGCAGTGCTTATTCTCATGGATGATGGTTTCTGCTGTATGAATTGATGGACTGAATGCCCACCTTTACACTTCATTTTAGCCACTGATATCAACTGGTGTTTGTTTTTTGGCTCAGATTGGACCCTTGAATATCTGGGAAAGTGCTCTTCTCCTAAGTGGTCATTCCTGCACAGGACAGAGGTTGTGGTCACAGTGGTCTCACAGCAGTGTTGGTATGTGCCTTGCTGGGGTTAGGGATGATCTGGCTGCTTGGTTTCCCTGAGACACAGAAATGGTCGTTCATGACCTCAGGGTGATCTGGAAGATGCTATATGGAGGGTCTGTGGCTTCAGGGTTTTTTTTTCCCAACTGTACCTACCAAGGTGTGGCTATTTTTAACAGTGAGAGCTTGTGGTGTGTCCAGCAGAGGTGAATTTTCTAACAGAGATCTTGCTGCTGGTGGCCCCACAGCCTTTCAGTGGTGCAGGGTTTGTGGGTGATATGGTCAGTCTTTGCTAAGCAGTAGGATTGTAATGGTTTTGTCAGGCCTTAAAGACTCCATAAACACAGATTTTAAAGACTTCTGTATCTCATAGGCAAAAATAAATGCTCAAGGCTCTGCAAGGCAGGAACAGAGGTGAGGAGCTGTTCAGCTTGGGGTGGTTCCTCTTGGAGATCACACTGCTGGGTCAGTTTGGTGGCTTCTCCAAGGGCAGAACTCACCTTTGCTGCCCCCAGAGATGCCTATGAGAGTGCCATTTCTCTGGACAGGAAAAACTGGATAGTTTGGTTTTTTCCTGCAGTAAGGACAGCAGACCCAGTGATGACCTTTTAGGTCTATTTTCAGTGTGGCCCAAAGTGGATGTACAGTAACTTGACTCTTGGATTTCTCTCCTGTCTCCCAAGTGACCTGTTGGATCCTGTTGCCCAGTTAGTCATTGCTGGAAGCACATCTGGCGTTTCCTCCTAGGTGTGAGTGGATCCATGTCCTGGGGCAATGATGAGGGGTTTTGTTGATTTGTGTGTATGTCCAGCCATTGCTGTTTGTCACAGCTGTGGATCAACACCCTGGACCCTACTCTGAGGCTGATTTCTTCAAGAAAGCCCTGCCTGTGGTGGTGTGGATTGGTATCTTTTCCCTTGGGCAGAGAATGCTCTTTATTGCATTAATTTTCAGCATCTTTTCTGTACACTGCCTTCAATAAAATACAGTTTGCAAGTCAACATGAGAAGATTTATTTTTAAATGTGTTTGTCTGAAATTCATTTGAAATAACAAGCCTGTTTGTTGCATGTCTTTAGTGAAGACACATGAAATTTGGTGCTAACTCTGTTTTGTCAAAGCAGGCTTCCTCCAGCCAGGCATGAGTGTGAAGGGGAGGGCAGGGAGCTGTGCAGTGCTTCCATCTCCCTGGTGCCTTCTGGACTGCTTCATTCCATGCCCTTTCTCCATCAACCTTTAACATTTTATGTTACTGAGACAGAAAACAAGATGGGTTTTGTTTTCAGACTCTGGTCAGTAAATGCCATTAGACTAGAAAGTTCAGTAGGAAAGAACGTGGGGAAAACAAGAAGGGGGAGTTACTGAGTGGCCTGACCAAGACCAAGCATCAAATAAAGGCAGCCATAAAATTGGGTTGGAGCTGTATTTTGCTGAAATCACTGTTTGAAAGGACCTTGGGTGTGGGATGGGAGATCTCATGGCATTGCTGTTCCTGCTGACACAGACTGCCAGGAAACCCTTGGCAGCACTGTCCAGACCTGACTCTCTGTGCCAGAGAGCCAGGGTGAGCCCCACAGCTTTTTCTGAACCTTTTGTCATCTGCCAGGGAGGGTGAAGGCTTGTGCTGCAGCTTTCCTTAAGAAACTGGCCCTGTGCCCACATTGGAAAAACTGCTGGCAAGGGGATGTCACAGCTTTTTAAGCATGCTGGGCTCCGTGGCTCTCCTGTGCCCCTGAAGTCCACAGTCAGTATTGATCTCTGTATTGAGAACAGCTGCCCCTGTTCTCAAGACTGGACTAGCAGATAACTTCCTTTCTTTCAAATATCTTTGTCCTTTATCAAGGACAAATCTCTTGAGGGGTTTTTCCCTCCTTCACACCCTCCATTTTCTAACTCCTTTCTGGGCCAGACCTTTGACCTCCATGAAGTTAAAGGATGTTTTGTCCCTGGATATTTTGGATCTGCTTTTCCCCAACACGTGCAAGTCTGTCTTTGGGCAGTGATGCTGTGAAAGCCAAAGCAGCACAGTGGCCTTATTGTTCTGAAACAAAGTGGTTGAAAATCTCCATTGGTTTATGAAAGGATTGATTTATGAAAGTTGATTTATGTAACTGATGCCTATGTGGGCATTGATGTAAGGTGTGAGGAATTACTTGGGCATGCCTGGAATAAGGGCTGGATGTTCAGGCTGTGGTTAATGGCTCTAAAATGGGAGGCCAGGAGTTCACATGGGCTTAGTGAGGCTGTGGGGAAGGCAGTGATGGTGCTGATTAAGATTTAGTGGGATGGTTCAGGCTGCCCTGGTGATAAATTAGGCAGCTGTTCCATCATCATCTTCCCAGTTGTTGAATTTCAAGCCAAGGTAGCACGGGATGTACTTTGCCTGCCTTTGTGCAGGAAGGGTCAGGCCAGTTATGTGGCAGCTGGTTGGAGAAGATCCGGGGTGTTGAGCAGCCCCATGAACTATTACTCACAGACACCTGGTAAAACTTGTTCTTTTTATGCACTGTGAAGTTGCTTCCAAGTTACACAACAAATTCCTTAAGAGGCAAGAAGTGTGTTAGTGTGTTGTGCCAGGGGAGGTTTCAATTGGCTGTTAGGGAAAATTTCTTCACTGAAAGCCCAGGGAACTCATATCCCTGGACGGATTTAAAAAACACGTAGATGTGGTACCTGGGGACATGGTTTAGTGGTGGGCTTAGCACTGCTGGGGTAACGTGGGGCTCGATGGTCTAAGAGGGCTTTTTCAACTTTCAAACTTTAATGATTTCCATTCCAATCCAATTCCAGCCCTTTCTTCTGGTGACAGCACTGGGGCTGTTGTGCACAGGTCCAGGTGGGTGTTGGATGACTGGGAGCATCTGCCTGGCCCCAGGTGCAGCCAAGAACCCCAGGGTGGTTGAGCTGAATTTATTTCCAGACTGTGGTGTCACAGAATAAATCCTCAAAGGTTCAGTTTCGATTCCTTCTTTCTAAACTAAATCCTGGAAGCAGTTTCTTCCCCCTCGATTTTGTGTGTATGCCACTGCTGACTGCTTGGAGAATTGACTATGAAGATTCTCTATTGTAATGGGTTTTGCGCTGGCTAAAATTACCAGTGCACTTCCTAGAAGTATGTACTTATTTCTTGCTGTGAGAGATGAATTAGGAGGAGGTTAAAATAGGCTTAAAACTTAAAAGATATAAAGAAAACTTTATTAACAGAAACGAAAATAATAAGAAGAAAACCTTTAGAACACTTCTCTTCCCCTCCCTACAATTTTTTTCTTTCTTTGTGACAATGTAGAGACAAAACCTGGGATTTTTAATCAGTTACCACTTCTATAATAGTTTTTTTATCAGTTCTTGCAGGGAGAGGAGTTTCTCTTCATATATCATGGAGACTCCTCTACAAAAAGCAGTTTTCTTGTGGCTTCCATGTTACAGTGAATTAGCCACCTGGGAAAGGAAAATCTGTTTGCAGTGCGAAAGGCTTTCTTATGCCTTGTGGCTTTCCTAAAGCTGCTTTCATGGGCTATGTTAACTTATGGGGTACTATTTTAAAGATGAGCTGTTTTTGCATAAAAAACTAATAGTTCTGTTCTTTTATCTCTGGGAACAGAGGGTTGTTTTTGTTTTGTTTTGTTTTTTTAAATCTCTGGGACAAAATTTCTCATCTCTCTCTGTTTAAGTTTCTCATTACATTACAGCTTTTCAGCATCTACATGGTCCATCCAGCACAAGTGCCCTTTTTTCATGGGCTGGGGGTGAATGCTGCATCCTCTTATGCACTTCATGAATTACAGGGAAAGAAATGAAGTCTGATATATCAAAAATATATTTTTACTAAAGCTTTATGAAGAGATTTCGGTTGAAGACTAAGGTATCTCCTCAATCCCCTTAACTAAAATTTGACTCTTTCTTTACTGCCTTTAGTGTTTCATGTTGATTTTTTTTTACGTGTCTTCACGCTTTCTTTTCTTGGATTCGAGAGAGAATTGGTGTTCGTAGGTTCATTTGTTCTCAAGTGTTATCAATTAGAACAGTTTTTATGGAGTTCAGCAGCGCTGAACCGTTGATCTCATCCAGGCTGGGATCAGGGAGATCGCCTGCCGTGCCTCTCGCTGCTGCCCACGGGGATTTTGCTGACACCGTGTGAGCCGTGCCGGCTGCTGCCTTCCCTCAGCGCTTTTCTCCATGCCGAGTGCCGAAAACAAGAAAAGCTGCTGCTGCTGCTTTTGTCCTTCTGTCCACAGCACGGCTGGCTAAAAGCAACTAAACACACAAAGTTCATCGCGAGCCCTGCTGAGGCAGCCACAGCCATGTGCCGCTGTTTCGGTCGCGCTGATGTCTCGGCTCCATGGCCGCTCCCGGCCCCAACAGAGCCTCCCGCCGGCAGGGCCCGGCAGGGCCCGGCGGTGCCGCTAGAAGGAGGGGCTGGCTCTGCCGGGAAGGGGCCCAGCCCCGCCGGGAAGGGGCCCCAGACAGGTCCCGGTGAACTCCCCGGTGAGGGGCTCGGCAGCCCGCTCACCGCCCCTCAGGGGACAGAACATCTCGGCCGGGCTGGGCCACATGGGGCCGGCCTGGCCCAGCTGTGCCCAACTGGCACCCAGTTACCTCTTCAAAAGCTAGAAGCAACAGAGAGATTTCTTGGGCTTACCTGTCTCTAAAATGTGAATCTCACAGAGGCGGACCTAGCTTCTAAATGGTTCAATAGGCTGTCAATTCTCAGAGCTAGCCAGCTATTGGTTTTTGCTAGGCACAGAGGAAGCTCTTAGCAACCTGTCCCAGAAAAATCATCTCTGTGGGTGGCTTCTTCCCTCCTTTAATTTAATTAATTATCAATTAATGCAAAACCTGCATAAACCGGATGCAAGTTTTACTCCTCCAATATTTAAACCAATTTCTGAATTACAACTTGAATACAAGTTCATCAAGTCAATAAAAAAAGCCTCTTTCAAGCACCGTGAGCCCCAGTTTCCATCCTTACTCATTCAAATACATAGACAAAGTTAATAATGGTAACTGACCATCTCCTTATGTTTTCAAGGGGCTAAGCCTCTTTCAGGTTGGATTCCATAGAACATTTTATTTCAAAGAGTTCTGCAGAAAAAAAAAAATAAGGTTTCCTGAAGCTCTGATAGACAATGGATAAAAGAGGGCATGCAAAAAGCAGGATAGCAGTTTAATTTACAGTTGGTTACTACAGTCTCCTCCTATACATCAAGTCACAGGGCAGATGACAGAAAAAGGACAAGTATGGTGAGAATGTACCAGGAAACAGTTATTAAACCATAACCAACTTCCAGTGGCAGAGATTATTTATGGAGACTGCGAGGATCTCACTAACAATCAATTGTAACAGCAGTTTCTTATATAATTGTTAAACAAAAGTTGCTGGGCAGCTAGTTTCTAGTGCAATGCTGAATTTTGAAAAATGATTGCTAAATAAAACAAATTGAAAGCAACAATTTCACAAGAAAAAGGGGCCTTAAACCCCATTATTGCCCAGAAAAAGAGCTTCCTCTAATTGAGAAATACTGATATCCTGCTTTTACAAAGCAAACTATTTTATAAAAACTGTTGCAGTACTCTGAAAAGAACCCTAAAATGTACAGAAGTTTTTTAAAGTTTTTAAAAACTGTTTGCCAAATGTTCCAGAGGACAAATATGAAGCTGAAATTAGCAACCTGGCAAAGAGGTAACTGGGGCATAGGGGGTGTTATGAAGTACATAAGCACTGAGTTTCAAACCAGAATCTATTTGCTAACTACGATCTGTTTTACATAATGCCTCCATCTACCCAGTACTTCCAGAACAACTTGGCTCTTGACCTTTTCAGAATTCTAGGAGGTCTCCAGATTAAAGCCTAACTCCTCATCTTTGGTAGTAGCCACCTTCCTCCCATTAAGGATTCCACTGTGGTCCTCTTTCATGTAACCCCCTGGACAACTCAAAGCCATCACTAGTCTCCTGCATCACTCCTGTGCAGAAGACACCTGTCTTTAACCTCACCCACCTCTGCTCACATGTTGATATATTTATTTATACCACATTCAACAAGTCAAAAAGGTAAGATTTATCTGATGCCATGTTTGGGCAGCACTAAACCTATCAGAAATCCAAGTGTGGTTTTCATTTCACTCCCTACTCTTGCTCACTACTTTCCTACCATGAAAATTTAAAAAAAGCATAGATAAAGCAGTATCCCGCACAGCTTTCTTACAGATGTGTAGTTAAGCCTCCTTCCAGAATGACTCTTTGTAGGCACATAATCAGGAACTTGGTTGAGAACAAAGAATAAAGAGTGACATTAAGTATTACTTTTAATGTAATTAAAATGCTGCTAATTACAATTATGACAGAATACTACTAACTTATCCAAGGCACTATTTCATATGAAATTAGCCTGTGTCTGGTGACTGCAGCTCCCTCAACTAGAAATGTGACAGATCTGGTATTCAGAACAGGGAAAGTAACTGAAATTTATTCCACTCTACTGAAGGAAATAAAACAACAAAAAATTCTATGTAATGCACAAACATGACTATATTTCAAACAAAATGAAAGTGAGTTGAACACCCTAGATATCTATCAGGAGTCCATTCTCTTCCTTTCCACATGATCTCACCACCCAAGGAGAAAGAACATCCCAGGAACCACCCTTTATAAGCTATAACCTGCAAGTGGCTCCATCTAACAGAACTCTCTGACCCTCTCAACATCTTCATTTTCAATAGTAAACATAGCTGTAATCTTAGAATTAACTATAACAGGTCTACTTTGCCTTTTTTTTTTTTTTTTAAAGGCACATTAAACCTTACAAGCAATGGTGCTTTTAATTGACTTACTCCAGGTTTCGCGAAACAATGATTTTAGAGAGTTTTTATGCAAATACCAGCATGCAATGTCCTCGCTTCAGGTACTCCTGAACTTTTAGCTGACTGATCATAGTATGACTTTGGTTGAAAGGGACCTTAAAGCACATCTTGTTCCACTCCCCTGCCATAGGCAAGGACACTTTCCACTAGACAGGACTGCTCCAAGCCCTGTCCAAACTGGCCTTGAACACTTCAAGGGATGGGGCAACCACAGCTACTCTGGACAATTTCAGTCAAGAACCTCCAATCACTAAAGGAGCATTAAGTGTTTAATATCCAGCCTATAACTGAGTTGAAAAATTCATTCCTTTATGTTCTTACTAGTACTTACTATGAAATTCAAGTACATGGAAATGTACGAAAGCTGGACTTGGTGTTAAGTCTATCTACTCACAGTCAGCTCATGCTGAGTCAAGTGAAACATAGTGAAATAAAAATAAGTGATGTACAAGGTCAAGCAGAGTATTACACTCTGAGTGCTCAGGGTGTTACTTGCCCAAGTTCAGCTCCAGTCTAATAATGTGCTTCAGTGAAAGTATGTCAGTGTTCACTGTGTCTTAACCCCGAGACACAGATGGGCTCCTGGCACAAGCTCTTCACAGCTGATGCTGCTGGCCCCTTCTTTCTTCACATAAAAATCCTATGTGCCATTAAATACAGCCTCTGACCAAATGGCAGAAGCTATGTGACCTGCAGTTGTATTTTTGCAACAGGGAATTCTATCCAGAACAGTCACGCAGCACAAGTTATTCAAAGAGACCCCTAAGGTAATAAGCTGACTACAAATTCTCTTATAAACTTAAAAAGCTGAACTAGATTGAGTGGAGTATTTCACAAAGAAATTTCAACGTGCAGAAAAAGAACGTGCGAAAATTTAAACTGAATTAGCAGGACACTTCTTTCACTATCAAACTTTATTATAACAAAATTATGAAATTATTTTAAAATTCTTTTAAAGCTATAGTAACACAAATACATAGGAAGCATTTATTTTTTTTAGAAGTGCCTTAAATAACAATAATAGCTCAATTATTTTACATACCTGCAAGGTGGCAAAAACATTGAATCCTTCATGAGCACAGATCCAGAAAGCAGGATATACCAGCATCTTGCAATAGTTTCTGAGCTGTAAGAAAAGAAATCAATGATATGTACTTCTCCTTACAGCACCTTAGAATTATGTTATCCAAAATATTATTGCAGTAAAATAATGATTTATCCTTCTACCAGCTCAATATGTAAGAACCTGGGAACTCCAACTGGACCACTTTTTTTTTTAAAATATTCACGTAAAAAATGTTTCTTATACTTTACATTTTGCCATTTAACGCAGCTTAAAAATTTACGTTATTAAAATGAAATTTTTAGAGAAAACATTTTATTTGAGTGAAAGTATACATGAAGCCTATAAATACAGGACAGCACAGAACCCCACACATAGACACTGACCTGCTACTGCAGCAGGTGTGTGTCACACATACCCACCACACTAACTAGCAGGTGGCATCTCATTTAGACTCGTGTGCTGGAAGCTGTGCCTTATACAGAAACTAGGACTAGCTGTGAGACGATAAATATGCCATAAGCAATACTAAAATATGAGGAAAATAAAAGTATATTTGGCTCCCAGCAAGGCCCTAGAGAACCATAAGCTAAAATACTGATTTTTGCAAGGTCAAGTGATGGTGTTTGAGCTCCATCCCTCTCCAGCGCTGGCTGCAGCCACCAGGAGCCATGGATACAGCGCCATCTACCGAGTGTCACCATGGCTCCCTGGACTGCAGAGGGGACACTGCCCGCCTTTCAGTCACCTCCTGTCCCTGGCAAACACATACACACCGCTCTGCTGTCCCTGCGGAGTCATGGGCACCGCTCAAACATCGACACTGCAGTACTGCTACAACCGCCTCTGCCTAAGCTTTTAACCAGTTATTGACAGTGACAGAAAAGCAACTGACATATGACAACATGCAGAACACTGGGCTTGCTCACAATTCTGCTGAAGAACTCCAACAAGTGCTTTGTACTCACCAAAAGAGAACTTGGTTCCCCTTGTACCTCTCATAGCGGGCACTTGACGACATTATTCTGAGAGAAGAGGAGGAGAAGTTTAAACTCAATTTTAATCCACAAAGATCATAAGCCATTAATCACCGCATTTCAGTAGAATCACTTTCAGGCTCCAAGACCTCAAATTCTCATTTTGTTTTAAACAAAGGATGTGCTTAACCAGAAAATACAAATTATTACTGTGTTCTTCATTATCTAAATATATAATATACAGCATGTTTTCCAAGTGTTTAAATCACTCCCACACATTGGAATTACCCATAGCAACAGAACTGAAAGAACTAAAATACTTCCAAAGTACTTTTTTGCTTTGTTAGCCTTCCATTTTATGGATTCTGAGAACATCTGAATGTCTGAAGCATTGAAAAGCTTTTGTAATCTGAAGTTAAGACAGGGCACTGTCTAGTGTTTTTATAATTTGCCCTTTGTAGGCAAATGGGAGTAAGCTCTGCCTTCCTTCTTAGAGAAGCTAATTAGTTTAGATTCTGTGCCCATTATTGCAGTGACTTAACTCAGCAATGGATTTGGCTAATGCTCTGCCAACCTCAAATTGCAGGCAAGACAAAAGCTCTGCTCATCTCCACAAAAAAGTCATAGATGTAAGTGTGCTTAAAGAAAACAAACTGCAGCGTACTTCACCTTAGTTGATGTTCCCTGAAATGTGATAGTATGTCCAGTCCATGAAGGAAAGAATAGATAGTATTCAAGTCCTAAAAAAAACCAAACCAACAAGTTAAGCAATTTCATTCACATCTAATCACGCAGTGTTACTTTTCAGATTCTGCAGTAAATTACACAGAATTGTACAAAGCCCAGATTAATATATAGGTCAGGACACACAGAGACTTGAAGAATCCTGTCTACACTTGAGCTGTAAAAGTGAAAAGAGTGAAGTGCAACTGATGCATAAACACCGAAATGCACCTGAAAAAAAAGATCTATTAAAAATATCTTGGAAAATATTATTTATGTGAATGGATACAGCAGCAAGCAACATATGGAATAAGACAAATAGAGCACTCCTGTTCACCCAAGGTCAAAAATTGTTGAAACTTTCTAAGATCTCTTTAAAGAAGGAATTTTTCAAAACTAGTGGCAAACCTAAGCCACTATATAAGGTGCAGAGAACCACCAGAGTACCTTTACATAGCAAAGGGGTTATATTTAGAGAGAAAAAACTCTTTAAGGTCCACCACAGATCTAGCTGGCAGGCCCACTACAAACTACACCATCCTCCTGCCTCTCTTGCTCAGCCCAGTCCGTGTCTGGTGGGAACATCAAAAAGTACCTCAAAATACTCTTTGGCAAAGATGAAAACAATAAAGCTTTAGAGGTCTCTCACTCCTAGTAGCACTAGTCAGCATCACATCAATGTCATCCCCTAGCAAACACAGAAACAAAAATATCAAAACATGAAGATTATTTCACTTTATAAACTGGACTTTACATAGAAGCTGTAATACAGCTGTTTAAACTTCTCAACAGACAAAATCCTCCTCAGTCACAAAAATATCTGTGCTGATGGTGCAGACCACATGGCAGGGAACAGCTCACTAGGACTATTCATCACTTAATTTACTGTCCTGAACAGGTGGGCTGCTAGAGTCAAATACACACATAACAAAATCATTATACACCACAGGGCAGTCTCTCCAGCTTGGCTTTGGAAGGTATGTTCTGAATTTTCAAGTGCTGCATTTATCCAGTGTTTACATAAGATAAATCAACATTTATGCTGGCCTCAGAATTTACAGTGGATTTACTTCAGAAAAGTTTTTTTCATTTCATAGTCCATGTTTAGCAATACAATTGATATGGACTGTTATATCAAATGAAAGGTCAGAAATAATAGCAGACCATGTAAAACAAATAAAACTCTGATTCTTTTTCTAAATGTCATTACTAAATCCCATGAAAATTAAACAGAAGGCCTGAATTTGTAACAGATTTACAAAGCACTCATTTCACACAGACCAATCTCATTTTAATCCTCCAAGCTGCCACAAACATGATTTTATTAGTGAAACCACCCAGGAGCACTAGCTATGGATACACTCCAAACACACCACAGCCTGTCAGAGGTGGGCACCTGGCAGCCAAAAGGTCATTTCAGGTAAACAACAGTTCAATTACTGAGCCTTCCCTGTGTCTGACCAGAGAACTACCTCAACTTCTCCACCAGAAAGCATTAGGCACAGAAATGCAGCAACTATATAAACAGACCATACAGTGGCTTAGCAGTTAATAATATCTGACTCTCCAAGGCCAAAAGAAGGATACTCACAACTCCTGTAAAAGTTGAGCAGCTAGGAAAGAATCAGTGTTTTGTATTAAAATTAAAGCTGATTTTTTAAAGTCTTTATAACATTGTGTCTGTATAGGTTTTCCTGTTTCCCAATACTTTTTTACATAACTAAGACTAAGATGTAACAGAATATCTTGAAAATGTTTTAGATAAGTAGTTCTGTAGTTATGAGTTACAGAAAACTGTAAGCCTATGTTCCCCCTTTAATCACAAAGTTTTTAACTTCTGCATAAGAAAAATTACCACATCCTGACTTGTAAATTATTCTCTGCAACTCCCCAGAATGCAGCCCCTTTGAAAGTTCACTCAGCCTGACTGACTCCTGCACTCCACCTGCAACACACAGGACTGTAACACTGCTGTACTGGTCCACTGAGGAGCTTGATCAACAAACAGTTGGTAAATCACAGAGATAAACATTTGCTCAAAGGGATACACGTCTGGAAAGCATCCCCCAATTCCAACCTCATCTGTTGAGATGAACAGCAGCAGAGAGAACAGCTGAGCAGAGAACAGCAACAGGAATGCAAAGGTTCCTATTCCCTCACACAGCAGGAGGCATTTAACTTACACTGCTCACTAATAATGCTCTAATGTTGATAAAGGTAATAAATTTCATGATAAATGTAGTTCACTAGCCAGCCAGGTGACACATCAACAAGCTAAACACATTAGCTACTCACACAGCTTCTATAGGTGGTTTTAAAACAGGATCTGTAATGCTTTCCCTAAAAATACCTGATTTTTAAAGCAAACCCCTCTCCTAGTCACACAGAGGAGGTGACTGGGCGCCACTGAGCAGAAGAACTGACTCAGCAATCTCCTGGTCAGGGCTGCGAGGTGCCTTTTTCTACCACTACCTCAAATGTACCCAAGCAATGTGTTTCCCATGTCCTGGTGAAAAAGCCTTTTCTGCTTGCTTAAATAGATACAACCAGGTAGAATTCCTCCTCTCCTTCACATGCCACTTCAGATTCTAACATGGAAGGGTATAGTACATGTGGTGCATATATCCCAGTTTTTCCCAAATAAATTAAAATTACCTCTAAGTCACAGTTTGACAAGTTTTCTTCAATACTTCCAACTAGTTTCAGACTAAGTGCTTAAAATAGCACTGAAATTATGTTTTACATACTATATTTAGAGTCTCATTCTATATTTTTGCCAGCAAGGAACATCAATTAATCCAAGGATGGCCGGACATGGGCAGGAGCTGTGGCCACCTCGTGGACTGAGGCGGAAGTCCAGCTGCACCATGCTCCCAAAAATCCTCTTCCAACAGAGCTGAAATCATTTGTTTCTCCAACTCATAGTTTACAGTATCTTCTAATATGTTTTTCAGCTTTTTTTAAATTTTTTTTAAACAGATTTATTTCACTGCAGCAGTTATAAACAGTGGATAAGCACATAACCTCAATACAAAGGGTAGAGATCATTTTCACAGATACTTTCCAAAACTCACTACGAAGATTTATGCCGAAGGGCAACATTCAGCGTCATATCAGCAGAACACAAAACATCTGCTGGAATTTTATAGCCCCTTTCCATAGCCTTCCTTATTATCTCTTTACTTACTTTTTTTCTGTCAAAATCCAACCAAGACACAATTATTGATGAAACACAATTCCACATGCTCTAAACTAAACAACAAGGTCAGTAAGATTTTATTTTCCAATCTTCAGAGCTTTTCATCAGCTGAAGCAATAGCTGAAACTGAAGCACAGCATCTACCTACAAATGCTATGCTGTCTTGGGTTACAATGCAAGATGCAACCAGAAGTATGTATTCTATTACCATCTGTTAAAACCAGGTATGGCAGTGTTCTTTATCTCTTCCATGACCCATGCTCCCTCCAGGGGGATATTTGCTGTTAGTGGGCCATTGAGTCTCACTGCACAACTGATAAAATTATAACATCCCATTGTGAGATGCTCCCTGGATATAATCAGAGAACACCACAGGCAGCCTTTCTCCACTGGATTCCCAGAGGAAAGACCAGACCCATCTTCACCACTGGATCTTCAGTGGAAAACTACACCCTTCTACAGGATCACTGCTTCTACAGAACCACATCTGTCACTCCAGGAGGACTGCAGCCACCATTTAATTGGACTGCTACCAACACCCTGACCTACAGAGTGTCAGGCTGTATTCTGCCAGTGGGTTGGGCTTTTTTTGTTGGAGTTTTGGATTTTTTTAACTACTGCATTTTTATTTTAATTTCCTTAGTAAAGAACTGTTATTCTTATTCCCATATCTTTGCCTGAGAGCACCTTGATTTCAAGATTATAATAATTTGGGGGAGGGGGGTGTTTACTTTTTTTTTAAGCAGATACCTGTCTTTTCAAACCAAGACATATGCCCACAACAGATTCTTCAATCTTTGACAAAAAACAACTTTGACTAAGGTTATTTACAGAGAAAGTAACTCACATTATCTATCCAACTAGCTAAAACTGTGGTTCCAGCAATTCAAGGGAAGATGGGAAACTGGGAAAAGAGTAATCAGGCAGTTGTTAATTCTGTTAGAAAGGCAATTTTCTGTACCATAGAGAGGAAACACGAACACCGTGACCACAGTGATCCTGCACCAAGCTGCCCGGGATGGATCGTTCTTTGCCTCCAGTTCTCACAGCAGACGTGTTTAAAAAAATCAGAGGACATCTGTGTCTTCAAATTCTTCCCGTGACAGAATACATTGTATAAAACAGCGAGTGCCTCAGCAGCACTGCAGAAACCAAGGGATGGCTCTGTGGATGGCGCTGTTATCACAAAAGCATGGTCACCAGTAGCCTCAGCTTCCTTCAGCGCCAGTTTTTATCATCTCCAGCACACACATTCTTCCAGCAAAAAGCTTATACAGCTGCTAAACCAAACGTAGTTTGGTATGAAAACACAGATTTTAGTAACAACAACATGTTATATAAATATGTATTCTTTCATGGTAACATCCTCATCCCAGTATAGTTAGAAGTGAGCCACCTCAATACCCAGGCCACTTCTCATTTTCCCTGCCAGATGCTAACTCTCAGAGATACTATAAGAGGGGAAAATAAAAGAAGCATCAACTAAAAAGTCACTACACAAAAGTAACCAGCTAACTACCACCATCATCCATTTATCCCAAAACATTTATTTGAAAATATTTTGCTCCTATTTTTTTTGCAAGGATGGTGAAATATTAGTTTCTTAATTGTTAAGATGTAACTTTTTAAAATAAAGAAGTACAGTTAGCCAGAAAAAATCACCAGGAGATTATAATCCAAACTCAAAGTTGCTGAGGAAGTGGTGGTCATCCTAAAGTTTCATTATTGGCATCTTTTTAAAATATGACAAAGACCTGGATGCTTCTGAACAAGCAGCACAGTGCAGCAACACCAATGATGAGCAAAATTTGCAAGTAG